TTTCAATAAACAGTGTTCTAACTGCGTCATCAATCTCTCTCCTGAAAACCTTTTAAATTGTTTTCTGTCCGGTCTAGTACTTGATATCATGGATTTTATAACTCACCTCCCATCCTCTTTTGGCCACACCATCGGTTTTCATGCATTCAAATCCTAGATTATATGTCAATTTGAATACCAAACAAGCAACTTTATAGGGGAGTTCAGATATTGGAATGAAGATAAGTGGGAATGGAACATGATTGGGAGGAGATAATGGTTTGAATGGAAAAAACCATAAATACATGCACTAATGTTACAATTATCTATGATATATTTAAGGAAGGAAAAATGAAGACACTTGGGTGTGGGATGGTGAATATGATGAGTCTTACACGATTAAAGATGCTATATGTCCTAACTGAAAAGGCCAAACTTGCTTTTAAAAGTAAAATTACACACAAAATATCTATATAACAACTACTGTTCTTGCGTTTACAAAGCATACATATAAGGCAAAGAAATAATATCTTCAAAGCATATGGGAAGGTGAACTATTTCCCCTTGTTCTAGCTCTGCATTCCAAAACAATCACATAGTAACTAGATTGTAATAACTCTCATTCCCATTTGCACATAATTTGATGTGGATGCCTGAAATCATAAGTCAGCACCAAACTTCCATCCATTCTCTTAAAAACAAAACTCTCTACCAGCATATAACAACCAAATTTCTCCCACTTGTTCATTCCTCTAAACTCCTCTACTCTCATCATTCTCTCTTGCCTTCCATTACTTGCTTTCCACCCAACTCTTTTCTGCTCCCATTTCATTCTCTCCACCACTTCCAAACTCAGTCCAACACTCATCTCTCTTCCAGTTTCATCAACACTCTTAAACCACAGCACCTTCTCAACCACCCCACTTTCATCCCAAACAGCATCCCTTCCTGCAACCTTCACAACTTCTGTCTGAATGACAACTTCAACAAGCACACTATCTTCACTGTTTGCAACTTCCTTTGAAAATATTTTTTCCCATCTTTGCTCTAGTGTGACCTCATAGAACAATGACCTTTCCATCTGCTCATTCAGTCTCATTCTTTCCTTCAAAAACATAAAAGGGCAGTACCACTTTCCAACTACCACCGATTCAGAACTACCATTAGACAATGGGAAGTTGAAATCTGGAAGCTTGGAGCGTAAAGAGTCATTCGAGCCTAAAGCTTCATCCAAATGGTAATTGCGGGGAGTGCTAGCCTTTACACGCCAACCTTTACTCCTCAAGAAGTCAGGAGGAATTCCATCTGGGGCAACAGACTTTGCATGAAAACCGTTATGCTTATTGGTTATTTCAACCTTCTGATAATCATCAGAGGGAACCAAAGGTCTTGGTTCAACATCTTTGACAAAGCGGAAACAGAAACAAGTAGCTTTTTCTCCTTCCTTTGAACTTGTGCTTGCTTCGCTGAAATAAATTCACGTTGAGAATAGATAAAAAATTGGATAAAAAATAGATATATAATATTGAAGTTATTGGAAGCTAGATACTTCGATTGGAAGAAAAATTTGATCCATACCCTTGATAATTCCCGTCCCTTCTTATGGCGTAGTAGCGGTTTGAAGACAGTGGCTGATTCAATACTGGGATGAACAAGACCTTTTCCCAGTATGCGATGGTTTGGTTGGGAGGGTTACTTTGTTGAGCTGCATGGCTGGTGTATGTGTCTGTGATGATTAATTTCTTGTCCTGAGGAAAAGGAAGATTCTTGATTTCTGGGTCTTCACATAATCCGAAACAACTGTAAGATGTTGGTTCATCCCATATTACAAGATAACCTGAATTTGGTCCTAATGGAGGATCTGAAAGAACCTCAGGGTTCCTCTTGTACATAGAAAATGGTCTTGTCACTTACATTTTTCTCTCTGATATTTCTGATGTATTTCCTTATAATTCAATCTTAGTTACAAACTCAATCTTTGCTTCTCATGAATATGCATATATATATATATATGCTAAATTTCTAGATTCTAAGTGTTATCAGAAAAAGTGAAGTGATAATGTTTATCTGTTGCAAGCTGGAGAGATATTCTGTTCGGTTTCTGCATTTGGATTTAGATTATACTGGAATAGGCGACATTCTAACCTTGTATGCTACAAAGATGACACATTGCAGACAGAAATTCTGAGCTGCCAAGTTATTTGCTACGAAACACGTAATCAAATATGAATGAATATCGAACACACCACCAACATTGGTATTCTGATATATATAGTTTATGTTTAAAATATAACATGCGAAAATAATATTATGTAATTCATCTTGTATATCAAATATTATGAATGAGTTTATTAGTGCATATTTTATAAAGTAGGTGCTCTTCTCATAAAATAAACAGATTTTTGCTTTTTGTGTATTTATCTAATTTGCTCAATTTAAAAGTAAGCAATTTTCCACTTTAAACAAATTCTACGTACTTATTAAATAAATGGTTATTTGATCAATACTTAAGTTAAAACAAATTGGTTTAATATCTTATTCAAACTTATTTATAAATTGATTATGTAATTAATAATAATAAATGTATATGTAATAGTAATACTTTTTTAAATTATTTTTAAATAATTAATATGCAGAAATAAAATATAAGCTTAAAT